GTATGTACATCCTGTCTGAAACCTCCCACTAAAATCTAGGCTCCCTGATGTATCTGTATATAAAACAGAGCCTGGTACCCAGTATGTGTTCATTTAGTTGAATAAAAAGGCTGAGAAAATGATTTAACAAACAATTTAACAAAATACCTTTCACTTAATAGCTGTCTTTGTGTGGCATTATCAAAGCCTAGTGAATATTTTGGAATAAAAGTAGTAGAAAATCTCACACAGGACATATAAAACATAAATATTTAACATTTTTTTCTTTTATAACTTAAGTTGTTTTTGTAGTGCTGGTAACCAAGACAAGTACTCTACCACTGAGCTACAGCCCCAGCTTCTTAAAATTTTATTAGACTATCACAACCAATCAAAAAATGAGACAGAAAACTGACAAGAAGATTTGAGACCTTTCATCTGCAGAGAAAGTATCTCAAGCTCAAATCTGGTCAAAAGCATCAAAAACTGCAGAGACCCTAAACTGGATGCTGGCAGCTGATGACTATAATCCTAGGAACTCAAGAAATTAAGACTGTGTTTTGAAGCCAACCAAGGAAGTCCATCTCCAAAACAAACAGCAAAAAACAGGGCTAGAAATGTGGCTCAAATGGTAGAGCACTAGCTGAGAAAAAAAAAGGAAGTTCAAAGCCCTGAATTCAAGCAAAAAAATTTTTTAATTCTCCTTTGGTTGTTTGTTTTTAAACATACTCTCCTGGTTTCCCTCTTGTTAGCACCTCTTTATTAGGTTGTTTCTCTTGATTTCACACAAGCATTTCAAGCTTTAACTATTGGTCACACAAGTTGTATTTCCAATCACAACTTTCTTCTTATTTCTAGAAGCATTTACTCTACTGTCTTCCAAATCTCCACTTAGATTTATCACCAACATCTGTAATATCCCAATGAACTTCTGCCGTCTTCTTTGCTCAAGATTTTTATTCCCGCCCCCCCATATTCTTTATCTGTGAAAACCCACGTTCCAAAACTTGCAGCTTCCCACACCCCAAACTCATGGGTCATCTTAGCCACCTCCTTTGTGTGTCTGTGTGTGTGCCAGTAGTGGGGCTTGAACTTGGAGCCTGGGTACTACCCCTTAGTTTTTTTCACTCAAGGCTAGAGCTCTACCACTTGAGCCACCGCTCCACTTTTAGCATTTTGGTGGTGGTTAACTGGAGATAAGAGTCTCAGGGACGCCGGGCGCTGGTGGCTCACGCCTGTAATCCTAGCTACTCAGGAGGCTGAGATCTGAGGATCGCGGTTCAAAGCCAGCCCGGGCAGGAGAGACCGTGAGACTCCTATCTCCAATAAACCACCAGAAAACCGGAAGTGGCGCTGTAGCTCAAGTGGTAGAGCGCTCGCTTTGAGCTGAAGAGCTGAGGGACAGCGCCCAGGCCCAGAGTTCAAGCCCCACGACCGACCAAAAAAAAAAAAAGTCTCAGGGATAGTCCTGCTGGGGCTGGCTTGAAATCATCATCCTTAGATCTCAGCATCAGCCTCTGCCTAGCTAGGATTATAGGTATGAGCTACTAGCAGCATCCCACTCAATCACAGGTCAAGTCAGTTTCCAAGCCCTATCAAATTTCTTTCTCACTAGCTCATGAGTATGCTTTCTCTCTGCTGCTTTCATGGAGGTGTCGTCGTCATCATCATCATCATCATCCTCCTCCTCATCATGATCCCCGTGAGTTCTTATGATCACCCCACCACTATAACCATCCATCACTTAGTGGTTGACAAGACCCTTGGCAAGCTAGCACATCTGGGTGGATCTCCTGCCTCATTTCCCATCACCTCCCTATTATACTATACCAAACTATATGATTTCATTCCCCCAAATGCCTACTCAATTTAAACACCCCTTTATCAGCATAGCTAGAACTTTTATCTGAGTTTGTACCTTCCTTCATGACGCACCTGTAATAAAAGTTGTCTTGAGCTGGGGATACAGCTTTACCACTAACACAGGATTTATCACACAGTGTTTCTCTCATTTAATTTTAAGTTACTTGAGGATTGAGACTATCCTTCCTTGAATAGCCACATGCACAACCCTTAAAATGTATGAGCCTGGCTCAGGTGGCATGGGCCTGTAAGCCCAGATTTTCAGGAGGCTGAGACCTGGAGGATCATGATCAGTCCAGGCAGAAAAGTTTGAGGGACTCATCTCCAATTAACCAGCAAAATTACAGACTGGAGGTGGTTCATTAAACAAGAAAGCCAAGTAAGAGTACAAGATCCTGAGTTTAACACTGCACTCACATTTTTTTAAGGGTATTTGATAAATACTTGCTGAATAACTCTCTGAATTGAGTTTAATACCTTTTCTCCATGAAGGCATGGCTGGAGTCCTTTAGTCAAGTCCCAGCTAGCTATGAGGCTGAGGCAAAAAGACTGAGTCTAAGAATTCAAAACTAGCCTAGGTAACACAGTAAGAATCCATCTCAAAAAAAAAGTAATCAAGCTTTTATATAAACAAGAACTTTTATTGTCTTTTATTGTCTTGGTAGTATTTGCTAGACAGATGCTTTACTCCTCCAACCACAACCCCAGCCCATGTAAAAGATGAAGTCTAACAAGACACTATGTGTCTTGGGGAGGAGAGGAGGGCGATGGAGGAGTTGGGGAGGTGGGGAAGGAAGGGATGGTAGGGGGGAAAAAAGGAGGGGCAACAACGCTCAAGAGGAAATGTACTCATTACCTTACTCATTAACTGTAACCCCTCTGTACAGTATCTTTACAATATAAAATATAAACAAATATATAAAATAAAAAGATGAAGTCTCATGAACAGTACCCACAACCGGGATAAAGCAATTTGCCAAGAAGAAACATTTAATCATTTTCTAAAATTAACCAACAACATAAGCTGCTGACTTCTAAATATCTGAAGAGGTATAACTGAAGAGATATATATGTACAGTGTGTACCTGGCTAAAATTCTGGTCATCTTTTCAATAATACTTTTCAGGTCTGCTATTTTTTATGTTGGTCAAGAAACAAACTCATTCTTTCCTTTTTTGTGTGTGTCCAGTCCTGGGCTTGAACTCAGGGCCTGAGGGCACTATCCCTAAGCTTCTCTTACACAAGGCTAGTGCTCTACCACTTGAGCCACAGCTCCACTTCTGGCTTTTTTGATAGTTAGCAGAGATATGAGTCTCATGGACTTTCCTGCCCAGGCTGGCTTTGAACTGAGATTCTCAGATCTCACCTTCCTACATAGCTAGGATTCCAGGAGTGAGCCTCCTGTACTTGGCTTCTTTTTTTTGGCAGTCCTACGGATGGAACCCAGGGCTTCACAAATAGTAACTGTCTAAAGTTATGACTCCAGCCCCAAAAAGGGATCTTAACTGGTTTTATTTAGCCCAGAATTGGACAACACTTCATTCCATAAAATGGAATCAACTTTCTCCACTCTGCTCTTTTTAACACCCCAAGAGAAAATGAAATCACCCTGCTTTCTCCACCACCATGTATGACTTTACACACGTGATTAGGCTTGAAACACAAGTACAAAATAGCTTAAAGCTACAGTTGATCAGAAATCTTAACACAAATATAACCATCACCTCCTCTACCAAAACAAAGTTATTAAAAAACAGCATACTATTAACCTTTTCAAAAGAGATATTAAGAAGGGGGCTGGTGACTTATGCCTGTAATCCTAGCTACTCAGGAGGCTGAGATCTGAGGAAAGCCAGTCACGGCATTATCTCCATTATCTCATTATCTCCAATGAACCACTAGAAAACCGGGAAGTGACCCAGCGACTCAAGCGATAGAGTGCTCGCCTTGAGCTGAAGAGCTCTGGGACGTAGCCCAAGCCACAAGACTGACCAAAAAACAAAACAAAAAAACCCACAAAACAAAACAAAACCATATTAACAGAATAGATCTGCTCATATATATACTATCTGTCAACCCCTGTAGGGTGGGGGGATTTTCACATTGAGACTTTGTGACCCCTGGATTCACTGGTTAAATGGAATCGTTGGTAATCCAACAGAACTTCATTTATTTTCCTGGTTCCAAAGACTAAAACCAAGGACTTTTCCATGATGGAAATTACTGAGTAAAGCCATATTCAGATCCTATGATAGAACTGGCATTTGGCCAAACAATAAAAATGAAAGAAAAATAATGCCCGTGATTTCTTAGGAGTTGACCCTCTTTATAACCATTACTTAACCAACTTCTAAGACAGCAACAAGTACTTTACTTGGAACAACATACACCCACAAAGTCCCGCAGCAGACATGTAAATAGAGTCAATTCCCGTCGATTTACCCATACCTTACACATAAGTAAGAGGGGAAAGTGAGGGTAAGCTTTTAAAAATTAAACCTACGCTTTTGAAATGTTCTATGTCTTGCCAAATTCTGGTGATCGCGTCTGAATTATACGGATTTGACTAAATTCTATTAAGCCAAGTCATCTCACTGGTATTTCTAGCTCTTCACTTTTCTAATCCAGGAGGAACCTGAACAACCACTTGGTGCTTTTTGTAGACCTAAGATGAGACAAATAGGATTCCAGAACTCTTCCATCAGGGATACTGAGGGGGAGGGGAGGAGATGTGAACGCATCTGAAATAGAGCTTACAAGGTAGGGCATAGCAAGGGCTTGAAACGAGGAAATAAAGCAACAAAGGGCTTCACAAAAGAAAATCCTGCAACCTTCCGCCACCTCCCAAAGGAGAGCGCCAGAATTCCCGGCGACCCGGCGCCAGCGCCGTCAGCGCAGAGGAGCCGCGGCCGCGCACCGGACCCGCTCCCCGCACACGCCCCAAGAGGGAGCCAGGCCGGGACCCCCGCCCCGCACCCCAAGAGCAGAAAGAGGCTCGCCGCGAGCCGCACTCCCCCGGGGCCGGGCTTCTCCGCCCCGCTCCGCGAGGCGCAGGCCGCGCCCCCTCCCCGCCGCGGTACCCCGGCACGCTCTGAGCCGAAGGACCCCGCAACGGACGCGTGCGAGACACCGGGAGCCCCCGCCCTGGCATCACTCACACAGCCAGAGCGCCGCCACAAGCCCCGAGCACAGCCAGCGCCTGCGGTGCGAGGTTGCCATCAACGCCCCGAGTCGGGCGGACGCTGCCATCGTCCTCTGGGTGCACCGGCCCCGCGCCGCTGGGCCCGGGTCCGCACCGCACTCGGCTCGCAGGACTCGGCAGCTCGAGCGGCGGCTCCACCACGCCAAGATTCCCCGCTGGAGGCCCCGGTGGCTGTAAGCCAGCGGTTCGCCCAGCCCCAGCCTCGGCCCGGCCCCACCCGGCCCCAACAGCCTCCTCATTGGCCAGCCTGGCCCTTTGTGAAGCATGTTATTGGGCGAACTGGTTGTCCCTCAGTCCTCTCGTCTGAGAGTTCCCGCCTTATCGGTCCCACCCTCCATATCCCAGCGCTGCAGGCCTGGGGCCCGGCGCTTCCCGAGGCTGTGTCCGTCTTCGTAGCCCGCCTGCCTGCGTGGCGTCCGCCTGCGGGTCTCGTGGGCCCGGCCTCCCCCCGGGTCTCCTCTGCCGCCCGAGGGTCCAGCACTGGAGGCTTTTCCATTATCGGTGCTCTCCGATCTTTGCAAGGTCCCGACCTTGCCGCAGTTTCAGCATTGATTCTTTTCTCCTAGCCTGACCTAAAGAGTAGTCATTTAGCATGGAAAGAGAATGAGGGAAGGACTGGGGGGAGGGGAGGAAGGGAGGGAAATGTGGGGGGTTAGTGGGAGAATGGGGGAGATGGTAGGGAGGTATGGAGATTCCAGAGAGACTAATGATTCTGTCTAGAACCCACCAACCCCTTGTCCTGTCTTACTAGTAAGGTTTCTCCTTCCTTTGCCCAGACTGGATAATTTGTTGCAATGTGAGAAATTGCTCATTTAAAAACACCCCACAGTATAACCCCTGCTTTCACTGTAAAAAAATAAAATAAAAGCCGGGCGCTGGTGACTCACGCCTGTAATTCTAGCTACTTAGGAGGCTGAGATCTGAGGATCGCGGTTCAAAGCCAGCCCGGGCAGGAGAGACCGTGAGACTCCTATCTCCAATAAACCACCAGAAAACCGGAAGTGGCGCTGTAGATCAAGTGGTAGAGCGCTCGCCTTGAGCTGAAGAGCTGAGGGACAGCGCCCAGGCCCAGAGTTAAAGTCCCACGACCGACCAAAAAAATAAAATAAAATAAAAGAGTTGGATATGAAAAAAAATAAAAAATAAAATAAAAACAAGTCTCTCACGCCTGTAATCCTAGCTACTGAGGAGGCTGAGATCTGAGGATCGCGGTTCAAAGCCAGCCCGGGCAGAAAAGTCCGTGAGACTCTTATCTCCAATAAACCACTAGAAAGCCAGAAGTTGTTCTGTGGCTCAGGCGGTGCAGCCCTTGCCTTGAGCTGAAGAGTGCAGGACAGCGCCCAAGCCCAGAGTTCAAGTCCCACGACCGAAAAAAAGCAAACACACACACACACACACACACACACACACGTCTCCATCTTGCAGGTTAAGGCTCCTCTTCTGAGGAGCCCCTTTTAGGCTTGGCCAGACAGCCGCCCAAATTGGAACCCTCTCCCACTATATTGAACACAAACGGATGTGTTTTTCTTGTTCATTTTGCCTTTGTTGATCCAAAGTCCTTCTCTTTATATCAATAATAATTGGGATCTGATCCTGGTCTGCTTTTGCGGATCCTGCTCAAAATGGTTAGCTTGGTCCAGGATGTTACAAACCCAACTAACACAGAAGAGTGTTTGAAAGGCATCCGAGACTAGAAGAGGGAAAAATAAAGACCCAAGCACAAGAAAAGGCCAGAATGAGGAAAGCTCAGGAAAGATAAAGGTGAACACGTTTTGGACATTTAGGACAAAAGTGGAGAAACCCCTAAATGCAACTCCTCACTTGAGAGATTTTTGTCTAAACTCATTCTGATCTGGATCCTATTATCTGTGCTGGGTTAGCATATTAGATTTGCACTACAACAAACTCTTAATTACCTCATGATTCATGAGAAAAAACTAGAAAGTCATATCAAAACATACGGCTCTATTTTTCCCAGCCGGTCTTTCTGAAGTGTCTGCAATACTACATGTGGAAAATGATACAAATGCATTAACTGAACTGAACATACAGAATACCTAAACTCACTTTCAAAAATGATGTCATGCGGGGCGCCAGTGGCTCATGCCTGTAATCCTAGCTGCTCCAGAGGCTGAGATCTGAGGATGGCGGTTCAAAGCCAGCCCCGGCAGGAAAATCCGTGAGACTCTTAACTCCAATAAACTACCAGAAAACCGGAAGTGGCTCTGTGTCTCAAGCGACAGAGCACTAGCCTTGAGCTGAAGAGCTGAAGGAGAGCGCCCAAGCACAGAGTTCAAGACCTCTTGATTACTCAATTACAAAAAAAAAAAGAAGAAGAAAAAGAAGCAGCAGCAGCAGCAAGGCGCTCATTGATCACACCTATAATCCTAGCTGAGATGTGAGGATCAGGATTTCAAAACCAACCCAGGCAGGAAAGTCCATGAGACTCTTACCTCCAACTAGCCAGAAAGTGGAGGTCTAACTTAAGCGGTAGCGTGCCCGCTTTGAGCGAAAAAAAGCCAAGCAAGCAAACCAGGTTCCAAGTAAAAGCACTAAGCCTGCACAAAACAGCACAAAAACCAAAACAAAACAAAAAAGCCAGAGAACAGAAAAGCATGGGCCAGGTATGAGAAACAGCTGGTTTGCATTTTCAGGGCATTGCAAGGAAAAGAGGTGAATGTTGGAAATGTCGGTTGTGATCATATTTTGAAGTCTGCATTTATTCTGTAGGCAATTGTAACTGAAGAAGTGACAAGCTCAGATCTGTGAGATTTCTATTTTTTTAATATTTTGATTCAATAAACAATATTCCACATTTATCACTTGAACACTTCATTCATTATAGATGCTGCAAAATTGCATATTGTATTATTCTGCACTACCTGCACTTCTTTGGTGTATCTTTTTCCACTACAGGGCATCTCCATTTGTTCTATTGTTTCTTTTTTCCAGACTGTCAAGTTTAATAACGTTTTCTTCTTTTTCATGGTTTGTACTGTCTTTTCACCTCAGTATACTACCATTGTAGTATATTAAAATAATATACAAATACAAACATGAAAATTCAGTGTTGCTGGTACAGGGTATGATTTTTTTTAATGTACAAATGCACCAACATATAATGTTAAATAATGAAATAACTCATTTGAGGAAATATAAATTTTCCTTTAAAAATGTAAAGAATTATGAAAACAACTCCATAAATCAGCATAAAAATACATCAGAAAATAATGAATATACTAATATGGATGTAATTTATAAATTAATAACACAAATACAACATGCTAATAGGAAACTATGCCATCTTTCTTTGTAAAGAATTTACTCTTTGTAAAGAATTTACACATCATGTGGGCCTTTTTGCTAGCAACCAACGAACTATTAGGTATCCCTAGAGTTTGGGTCATTTCTTAACAGCCTCTGCCCTTTCTAGCCTGCTCATTTCCCATTCCCCATTTGAAGGGTGTTTGAGAGAATGCCACCTAGCTGCCATGTCCCAAAGTACATTCAAGAGGACAGGAGTTCGTTTTTCTAGGCAGTGGCTGCTGGGTCTTTAGATAATAATTATCTTCAACTCGTCATTTGCATCAGCCTATAGAAGAAAAAGAAGGAGGGCTGATTACCCAAGCCTGCAACCTCTTGGTGGTGCTGCATCTTGGGCAGCAGCAGCACCATCCGCTCTGTGGTAGGACTGTCCAGGGGGCAAGGCACCCTACCCTCTCCTTAGGAAGACTCCACTTTGTCTTCAAGTTGCATCTCTTCAAAACCTTGCTCCTCCTCCATAACTTCCATCTTCACAGAGCCTGACAGGTCTCAAGTGGGTCTCAAGTGGCTTCAGCAGCTGGGGTCTGGGTGGCTGCCAACATCTTGTCCTGGCACTCTGTGCCTTCACCCACAATGTGCAACTGCAGCTCCTCCCTCTTCTCCTGGAAGAGCTGGTTGACAAACTCATCTTTCTCCTGATAGAGCTCATGCATGATTGCCATCTGTTCTTTATATGGACTCTTCAGTGGTGCTGATGTGTTCTCACAGCTGGCTGCATCCATGTTGGAGGTCATCTACTTGATTCTGGCAGTCCACCTTGTTGGGCAGGTCATGGACAAAGCAGATTTTCAGCTTCTTCTTGGAGACCTGTGTGTCCTGTTTCTTGTCCCCAGACATGCTATGGTTCCAGCTTTTGGGGAAAAGGGCCTGGCGCTACAGCTTTCTCTGACACTGGGCTGCCAGGTTGACCAGGCACCTGCAGCAGGCCTGTTGCTCCTGCAGCTGCTGGCTGAGCTTCTCTTTCTTTGATTCAGCCACTGCTAGCACTTCAAGGTAAAAATCCCACATGGTTTGTCTATGTCCTCTGGGACAGTTACATCAGGGGGAGTTGCCTCCTCACCCTTTTCTTCTTCGTTGCTCATTCTTTCACCTTCTCTAAGGAAACCCAGGAACCTCAGCTGGGCCTGGGGCTGCTCATTCTGAAGTCTTGTTGCTGCCAAGCACTTCAATATGTCTTGCAACTTTTGAGGTACAGTCTGGTCCCCCAACTTGGTCTGCCTGTGCTCCTCCTTTACCTGCTCCAGCAGCTGGGTCTGCCTCAGTTGGTGCTAATGCAGGGCTTCCTTATCTGAGGTCAGCTACTGATTGGTGGCCATGTGCTATTAACAGGTGGGTCTGAGCTCCTGCAGCTGGGCCAGACACTGGTCATACAGCTCCTGCAGATTCTAAGCCACTTGGCTCTTTACTCAGCCATCTCTTTCCATCTTCTAACTTCTCCTCTAGCTGGCCCAGCTTCTCCTGCAGATGTGTCTTCACCTGCTGCTCTGAGTGCAGGATACTGGCAAGATCCCTCTTCTCACTGGTCAGCCCCTGGAGGGCATCCTGCAGCTGAGCCAGCTGATCTTTCAGCTCTCAGTTGCACACGAGTGTACACCTCTTGGTCTCATGTTCCCTCTCCATTGTCTCAAAGATCTTGTGCCAATCCTTGGCATGCTAATCCCATTCCATGGCCTTCTTCTCCAGTATCAGCAGCTGCTGCTGCTGCTCCAAGTTCTGGACCAAGGCTCTGGTTTTCCTGTAGCTGACTGTGAAGTTGTTCCTTCAGGTTCTTGAGCTCCTTCTGCATCTGATGGGCCTGGACATGCAGCTGCTGCTCAGCCTGAA